AGCTGCTACTGACAAACGGTCAACAGACCTGCATCCAAAGTAAACTCTCTGCAGCGCAAACACAGGATGCACTTCACCACTGGAATTAGCCCTACACCACAAATAATTTGAAATACCTATAGTAGCTACAGTTTCTGATTAAGCATATTTAAAAAGAAAAATCAAAAACATAAGGGGATTGATTTGTTACCCTAATGAAGAGAACACATGCTCATTAACTCTTCCCTCTAATAAACAGCCCGAAGGAACACAGCTGGGGATGAAAAAAGGAGAGAAAACAGCCACTTTTAGGGGATACTACCACAAGTAATCTAATTGACCTCCGTGACATGGTAAAGCTATAAAACTTTCCCTTAATTTAACTCCTACACAAGTACAAAGTGTAAATGCTGAATCCGCAATTGCTAAGAAATATAAAGTATGTTCAAGGAAAAAAAAAGACCACATTGTACAGTGGGAGGCCTGATGTATTCAGGCTGCATGAAAACAATGAAAGAGAATCTGACGGAACAGCAGAATGCTTAATCCTCTCCAGATTTACCCATCAGCATCAAAATCTATTATTAGGCATCTTGGCGTGTCTCATTTACCAAGGGCACATTGTTTGGTTGTTCATGTTGGTGTTTCATTTCAGAACATTTCCACATGTAGGTCTTAAGCAGGCCCCAAACTGGAGATCTGGCTTCTCAACCATGACCTAACGTGACAGCAAGAAAAGAGACACCCTATTTGATAGCCGATTATCCTTCTGCTTTAAAAGGCTTTAGAGCGGGCTTAAAGGGCTACACCAAATCAATGTCATACTTTAATTTACAACTGTGTTTATGAAAGACAATGATGTGAAAGAAAAAAAAAAGAGAAAGGCTTTCCTTCTGCCTTGAATTTTAGGAAATGTTGGAGAGGAAACAGTAACAGACGTTAACAGGTTATTCTGCTAACAGCGACCAACCTGACAGACCGCATTCTGCCGTTGAGTCAAACGTGTTGACTGTCAGTGATTTAACTGTGCAGTTCATATGACCGCGCAAACTTAGGATAAAGGAGGTGCCAACGTTTGGCTCTGTCAAAACGGACACATATTATTTTCGCCTAGGTCTCTACTAACCACACACAGTTGTATAGCAGGTGTAGCCTGAGGTGGCACTCATATAATTATACAATTAGCTCGCTACGTATCCATGCATCTCAAATCTTCACCTATGAATTATGTACTTAGAAGGACTTTGCAGTGTATCATCACATGCCACGTTTGAAAAAGTCAAGAACAAAGAACTACATAATTAGACAGATAGTTACTTTCTATAACAACTTTTATTCTGTGGTTTACACTGCATAGTCTTGTACACCTCAATATGCATGTACATAAATAAATTTAGATTTAAGGTGTAATTCCAGATGTGAGTGAAAAAAAAAGCTTTGGTTTTCTAATCTAAAACTTTGATTCATTGCAAACCATTTAAAAATCATTCATATTAATTTGTGAGTGTTTTGATGAAAAAAATGCTTGATTTAAATTTAGTCTTAAAAATGTATTAACATACTGCAATGTTGTTCACAGTCTGCCCGGCAAGAGCTAAAGCGAAAGCAGACGTAGCTGAGCTGACACACACACACTTTTATATGAGATAATCTTGGTTTGTTTAGGCGTTATCAAGAAAACTACTCTGTATTTGTAATTCCATGTAGGAAGCATCAACAAGACCTCCAGAATTTATTTAACCTCGCTTCCTAATCAAGAAGCTGTCTTACCTTAGTGATGCAGAGGTCCAAATCACGCTGATGTTGTGTATTCCTCTAAAACGTTTTCGTCCAAATCGTCTCTCTCCGTGCTTGTCTGTAAAACTGTTGGATTCTTCTTGAGGAGCAAGGCTGGAAGAGTTGGATCCAGGTATGAACTGTCCGGGACAGAAAACAAACATGTTTTTCCCATTTCCTTCTGTCAAACGAGAAACCCTTTTTCTTTTCTTTTTTTTTCTTTTAGGTAAAAGTATGTGCCAATGAGCGGGCTACCGGTGGAAATATGATTGCACATAGGCTGTCAAAGATATCCATGCACACTGGGAAAGTCAAACACAATAGAGTATCAAACTGCAAATGTTTTCTTCCCTCCCAACGCAGGGAGCTCCGCGGAAAAATGTAAAAAATGACAATGATCTGAAAACTTCACCGAGACAAGCGGCATGAAAAAACTCCCCAGAAAAAAGGCTGTGGACAGAAAGAGGGAACATTTGTGGAAGACTTACCTTTTTATTCTTGCAGTCAGCTTATTCTCCTCAGTGGGGGAAACTGATCAATTCAGTAACTTTGTTATATTTTGGCGCGCTGTTGTTTTCCTTAATATTTCTCAGAGGTTTGACAGTATAAGTGGAATGTTAAGTATGACTTTGGTATGAAATCAACGCACTACACTGGAAAACGAAGGGGGAGGGAAAAAAAGACTTTCAAGGAGGAGCCATTGGTGCGCGTCAATCAACAAGGTTTTGGAGGGGGGGGGTAGTGACTTCACCGCAGGCCCCGCCCACAAAATCCCTGAACGCTGATTGGAAACTCTTGTCCGAAAAACCAGTCTGGCAGTACATACACTCGCAGAAATATGTCAAAGGTAGGAAATATATAAAGGGGATTTACATAAAAGACTCCGTGGCTTTATATAAAAACACTGGAACAGTCTTTAAATGAATCTTTCTAAAACATTATTATTATTATGTTTTATTACTGTAGATAACTTTAAAGAAACATGGAATATTTAATGTTTCAAAACCTTAATGCAATTTTTAAAATTTTCTAAATAATAATATATAGGGTTTAAAATGGAAAATTGTGCAGTTAGTTACATGTGGCAATATTATCCTATCCAAAATATTAGTGATAAAAAGATGAGATAATATGGTATAGTATATAAATATAAACAGAACAGAGAAGATCACAACAAATTACATCACTACTAATCACTACTGAATAAATTGGATTTATATGTTGGAGGTATTTTCACCTGCTGGCTCATCCCCAAGAGGCGACCACAAGCGATGGATATGCATATCTGATTTGGCACAGATTTCACATTGGATGCCCCTTCTGGCACATAAATGATTACCTGGGCTCGTGACCCCCTAAGGCTGGGTTTATGTCTTCTCTCATTCTAAAAGCAGGAATCTTTTGCATGTAAGGCGAATATGTTCACTACTAAATGATGGAGTCACCTTCATGTTGCCTCGGAACTTAATTTTAGTCTTAATTTTACAGTAAGACAGAGAAAAAGAAAATGTTATGGTCCCCTACACACTCAATAGAAAAATGATGCCATCTCAATGTCACACAGAACAAACAGCACACATTCAATGGTTTACTCTGTGCGTCTGGTTATGTTGATATTTAATTTTCTTCAAATCTAAAGAACAGAAACCTCAGCTTGATGTTTGGTACTTAATAATGGAGAAATACTACAAATATACAAATGATGTATTATGAAAAGCTTTAGTTAGAAATAGATAACAGACTCAGCTTTATTGTCATTCAACCATTTGACATCTTCCTCTTTCTTCTTATAATTTTCTTAGATTTTAGTATATGCAAAAAAAAAACCTACTATATTAAAAAAAGTACTAAAATATTGTCTAATATTATTTAGAATATGTCATCCAGTCTAAGGTTTTGATTATTCTCAACAGTTTAAATGCAAATCCTTCTCTTAGAAAACTTTCATGTGAGGAAAACAGTTTTCTTTTCCCCCCTAGAATTTTGTTACTTTAATTTCCCCTAACAGATGTTGACATTAATGCAGCCAAACCTGCATAACTCACAGAGAGTAATTTAAAGCTCCCATAAATGAGAATGAGAATCAGAAGGAGCATTACTACTGCTTAAATGTTATTGACAGAGAGACACAAAAATGAAAGCTGGACCTTTACTAGTAATGGAATATTTTATATTATATTAATATTATATTATATAGTATTTTCTTGGCATTTATTGTATAATTACCTCAAGTATATAGCCAATTAGTGAGTGTAATCTGTAACAGTCTTTGTTGTAGTTTTACTTTCACATTTTAGTCTATCTATACAAATAATAATTTGTCATGCAATTATACAAATATACGCTGTAAATGCTCATATTACACTAAATTCCCATAGAAACTATGAATATTGCTCTCCCTCGTATTATCGCTTATTTACTGGAAAGAGGATTTAACTAGTAACCATGTGTGTATCACTGTAAATCTTATAAGCTTACACTCACACCTTTCCATCCAGCAACAGCTCCTTCTGTTGGTCAATAACATGGTTGCAACATTTTTAGATTATGAACGTTTATACACCACACACATATAAGACAGTAGTGTACAGTCATTTTCACACATTGTGTCTAAGAGTACAAATGTATCAGCATGACTACAATAATGTTGGCAGTTGTTTAACTATTGCTCACATTACAGAAAAAAACAATGGGGTAGGAAGAACTCACCTTACAGCATCTCTCCAGAGGAGCTGCCAGTTTTAGGCTTCATTTAATTTGCGAGTCTGGACAACTGCCTGAGCAGGTTCAGGCAGAATACACACCTCTCACTTACTCTGGAGGCCCTCGGTTCAAAGAGGTTTTTCCATGCTGAGTGAAGCTCCTCTCAACATACAGGCAACTGAAGAAAATCGTGGGTGTTTGTAAAACTGGAAACTGGAATGTGACTAAATATCTGCCAAGCGCTCTCTCGCATGAGAAGATAGAACTATAAAACATATTTTATAAATATCTGTTCTAACAGATTTTTTTTATGTTAAAAACACCCATTAAAACACCATTTGTAGGGTTGGAAGAAGGATTGGGGTAACCTGCAAGTCTTGTAATTCTGTGGTGGTACTGAGTGGTACTGACCATCTGCAAACAGTCAGTAGCACTCTAAATTTACTATATTACTGTGAATCAGGGCGACAAGAAAAGATAAAAAATGACAACAACAAAAACATGACAAAAACATACATTTATACAAGCTGACTTCAAAGCGATTTAGTTAACAAGGAAATTTAATTCATTTGAATTATTCCCATAAGCCTGCAGCGAAGGCAATGTTTATGAATATAAAGAAATTAAAAAAGACAACATACAAAAACCTACAGGAGTTCACATTAGAGCCAGTTATCTAGAAACATATATATTTGGAGAAACGTAACGTACATGCCTAGAAAAAAGATTTTCACACCTATGTGTATATTAATGTATACAGATACACAAAACGGTTTCACAGTCACTAAATAAAATTGAATAAACTTAAAATAAAAGTGTGTCTTTTGTGCAGATGATTACTGTCACAAAGTATAATTTTCATTTTGCCCTAAAGAGAAACATTTTTATTGTAATTTGGTGTTTCTGCGGTCACATTTGACACAAAAAATTGGCGCTATACAGCAACACAATACCTCAAAGCACAACAAAGCAAAAAAAATTACCGTAATTCACGGTTTAACATCCTTTAATGATGTTAGTAGTCTTCAAACACCTTCATAAATGAGGTGTACAATTATCTCCCTGAAACATAGCTCTCCAGTCACTGGACTCCCAATGGTGTGTCTTTCTGTAGTTCCCAGAAGTTCAGATGATTGCAGTGAAATACTGAGAATCAAAAACAGAGGATTCTTCTGCACCATGTCATGCAAGATCAGACGATAACATGACAACAATTTTGTGTCTTACACCTGGGGGCACTCACACGGATAACAGCAGCACAACAGCAGGTATTGTCACATTTGAGGAACCATTGCTGTTATCGACACCTATCACAGGAAGTGTAGGCGAGTCCAAAGACGCTGGGTTGATCTGATGTGAATGTGGGTTTGTTGCATGCTGGTTTAAGTGTGAGTCCACAACTGAAGACTTGTGTGTTATTCACAAGCGATTTTGCCATCAAAGCTGGAAAGTGCGATGGCAAAGGCCTGCACAGCGCACAGCGGGTAGTTGTAATCCAGTGTGAAAATGTCATCAGCTATTCGTCCAAATTGCATCACAATGTAGTCCACTGGAAAAAGAAAAAGAATTCATTAATGGAGCAATTATTTTAATAAATAAATAGGTAGTGTTTCGGTAGGTAGGTACGTAAGTAGGCAGGCAGGGAGTTAATAAGATGGATCATGGCAATGTACATACTTAGAAGTAATAAAATATTCAAGCTGAATCCCCATATTCGTTTATTCTGCATAAACTGCTTGGTCAGTCTAAAGACTGTGAAGCAAGTTCAGCATATAAACTTCATAATTGACTTGGGATTTTAAAACAAACAAACAAACAAACAAACAAACAAACAAACAAACAAACAAACAAACAAACAAACAAACAAACAAACAAACAAACAAACAAACAAACAAAACATTTGGCATAAATAAGAAATTTCAAATATGAAAAACTGCAGTTCTAAATTTCAGAAGAAATCATTTTTTAAAATTGTATCTAAGGGTTGTACAGGCAGAAATAAAATAATCACTGACCAATGTCTGTCTTATGAGACATAATTTAACTGGCCACTTTATTAGGTACAGTTTGCTAGTACCAGGTTAGGCCTGCTGTTGGCTTAAAAACTGCCTAATTCCTTGTGGGGCAGCACAGCAATGCAGTGGTTAACAATATTGCCCCCAGTGCACACCTTAACATGTTCTCGCCGTGCGTGCATGGGTTCAATCCAGTTCCTCCAGCACCTTCCCACAGTCCAAACACATGCATGGGGTTAGGTTAACTACGATTTTATTTGAGAGATTTTATTTCATATTGACATAACATAATGCAGCCGGCTGCACATCCATGATGCAAATCTCATGTTCCACCACATCCCGAAGGTGCTCTGGTGGATTGAGATCTGGGGACTGTGCAGGCAATTTCAGTACACTGAACTCACTGTATTCTTCAGGGGATAATTTCTCAGATGATTTGAATTTTGTGGCATGGCACATTATTCTGCTGGTTGCAGGATATACTGTGGTTATTGGGAGATGGACATTGTCAGCAGTAATACCTAGATACTCATTTAGGTTGTGTAGATCTTTCTGTTGTTTTATGCATTGCCAGTAAACTGCTTTTCATTTCTTTGCCCAACTATTTAACATATAGTAGTTGTGGACAAGCAAAAGCCACTCACGATCTTTGTTGTGGACGATCTGGAAGTTCTTGATGGAGGCTTGGGTGACCCTGCCATTGAAGTTTAGCACATGAGATGCCGTCTCTTCGTTCCACACAGGCGTCTTGTTGTGAAGCTCGATCAGATTTTCCATCCTTCTGTTTTGGAATCTTATCAGCAAGCCATCGCATTCCTGCAAAGAATTAACAAAACATAAGTGGTAAACGTCAACATCAAATAGTTCATTCCCACTGGCCTTGTGTTGCTCTTAATGCTATAGACAAGGCTTAACAAGTCATTTGTGAATATTCAAATTTATTGTTTTTGCTTGAAAGCAGAAAAATAGTAAAGCACATTATTATTCTAATGATTAAGATGACAAATTACAGTTATTTATCTGCATTCTTTAGAAACAAAACTAATCTTAGTTGTTGGGTGTTACGCTTGACTGCACAAGAGTGCAGAGTTAGAACACGTAGTAAGCTCTCTCTGTCTCATTCCTCTTCTCTCCGCAGCACACCTCCACCTCTCCAAACTCTCTTCTATCTGCTCCCTCACTACAAATCACAATGGCCTCTGTAAATATCATAGTCCACAGACACCTTGAATCCATCTGCACTACCCTCACATAATTCTCTACCACTTCTGCCTTCCTCATGCAATGTCACAGTTCTTCTCTTGTAGTGGTGCAATGGATCCAAAATCTCACGGTTCGGCTCGGATCACGGTTTTAAGTCACAGATCGGATCAATTTTTGGATCAGCAAAAAAAGAAAAAAAGACAAAATTGTTTGCCTATTAAAAACATTCAGCTCAAGACTCATTCCACGAAATTATATAAAAACAAATTAAGGTGCAGTATAGGGCAGTACAGGGCTTTCCGTTGACCTGGAGGTCCACCCATTTGTAGTTGGGCAACAGAAGATGCCTGGGACAGTTCAGCCATAACTTTAAACTTTTCCTGCTCATACATGCCTTGGTACAATCTTGTCACTGAAGTGGACACGCAACGAGATATCATAGCGTGGCTCAAGCACGTTCATCATAGTTTAAACCCCTTGTTTTGCACAAGGGAATACGACCTCCCGTCTGCAGCTAAACACCCCAGTAGCTTTTGTAATAGCTTTAGCCCGGTCGGATTGGGGAGCAAATGGCTGCTTAAATGCAGCAAACTCCTCTACTCCTCCACTTGGACCACCAGCGCTGGCCATAACTATCACTTGACAGACTGACTACGCGCACCATACACATACTTTTTTCCTTCTTTTTTGAATCTTCGGATCACGTGCGTCCCGAACCGTGGAGTGCGATCGGTTCGGATTACGGATCAACCGTGATCCGTTGCACCACTATTCTCTTGGCAACTTATCATATCTAGATCAACAAAAACACAGTAAAACTCCTGGACTTCACTTCACGATCAACACTCTCAAAGCAAATATTGCATCTGTTGTGCTCTTTCATAATATAAAACCATATTTGCTGCTCAGTTATTATCAACTCCCTACTTAATCTAGCTTGAACAACTCTTTCCCATATCCTCATGGTATGGTTAATCAGCTTTATTCCTTCTGTACATACTGCAGCTTTGCACATCACCATAACTCTTAAAAATCAGTACCAGTACACTTTTCCATTCCTCAGGCCTCCACTTACTCTCCAGGATTGTGTGACTTAAGATTGTGTGACTATAATATCAGATTTAAGCAAGGAGTGAATTTACTTTTCATTTCAAAAACAAAACAAAAACTATGACTAGTCAATTCATATTGAATTTTTCATATAGGCCTTTATCTTTTGCCCTCATTGAACTGGTGTTTTATATGATTGCATTTACAATGAATTTACATTTCTTGGTCGGAGGGGTACTCGCTCGTTGTCTTTGCTCATTCCTGGAATGATGACAGTCATCCTTCTGGGTCCTTTTATTCCCAAGACATTGGTTTCCTGTTGTCAGAAATAACCAAAACAAAATCAAATACAGTTCTTATTATTCATACAATGTACTGTAGTTAAACGTTCTGCAGTAAAATGACTTACATAGATGATGCCTGCTAACTCTTGCCGAGCATTAGACATGTCTGGAAGAGCTTTTTCAGGATTCACAGCGTTGTCAAACACAGTGAACTTAGTCCCCATTAAATTTGACCTGGGCAATGTATAAAACACATTCAGTTAAAATGCACCTAATTAATACTTTATACGTGACAGTTTGTTTACCTGCTTTGCAATTTAAACAAAAATCCTTTTACCTCAGCTTTCCCACAAAATTCTCGCCTCCTCTTGATAAATCTGTGGCATCGATGGAGATGAGGTAATTTGAAGTTGTACTTTTCTTTCTCTTCCGTCCAGCCAGTAGAAACGTCTACAAAGAAAGAAAGAAAAAAAGGGGGGGGGACAAGACACCGACAAATGACAACTGTCCATGATAACAGTAATTAAAATTAATAAATGAAAGGAGAACTACTGAACGTGCTGTTGTACTGTGTTTACAATTTTGGTCTGCATTTTGCAACTTTTTAAAACATGATACTGACCTTTTTTTCATTGTCTAGATGAAGGTAATACAAAGGGTAGAGGCTCTTATCCATCCCTCTCTGATCCCGAGTCACTCTGCATTTCACAGTCACACCCTGCGGAGCTGGCTCCATTACAAACTTCTCCAAGTTGTCAAATTCAATTTCAGGTGAGGGAGAGCGCTCCTGATAAAGAAGAATAGATAAGAACATTTTAAAACATGGTCCACTCTGAGTGAAAGTTAAAGTGTAATATGACATTAAGTGACTAAAATGTTGTGGTTGATTTGTTTGAAGTCAGATACTTTTTTCTTCTTCCCTTTGCCCTTCTTCTTCTTTGTTTTTTCTTCTTTTTCTGATTCAGAATCATTGCTTTCGTCTGCCTTTGCTGAAAAAAACAACAGAGATGTTATACGCTTGTCTGTGAATACAACAGAGGAAAGCTTTAGTAATAAACTTGCCTTTTTTCTTTGTCTTCTTGTCTTTGTCCTTATCTGCTGATGTTTGAAACATCGATGCAGAGCCGGAGTTGGATTTTTTCTTTGATCTGGTTGACTTTGTTTCTTCTTCACTGTCATCACTTTCCGATTTGGCCGCTGTTCAGTAAACAAGTGTAAAGTGTCTCAATTTTTGTCATTTTAACATCAAGCATCAAGATGGATGCTATGCGGCAAAGCATTTGGTAAAGTAAACAAAGACAGAATTTTACAGTTCGTCAGTTTAAAAAATGCAATCACCTTTCTTTTTGCTTTTTGAGTTTTTGTCTTCATTTATCTGGAACATTGAAGCTGGTTCCTTCTTCTTGTCTTTTTCCTTTGACTTGGATTTTTTTTCTTTTCCATCAGAATCTTTGTCATCTAAGGAAAAAAAAGTATATAGTTTAATAGAAATGTTGTCTATTCTTAAATGTGATAGCCTGAAGAATTGGAAGCACACACTGAGAAATGTAACAAAATGTAAATTCACTTGTAGAGTATAGAGAGTAATCTTAGTGAACACTATGGTGTGAGTTCCAAAAAATGCAAACTGTTATCAGTTAAGTCAACAAAGATTTATGTGTGAAACAGATGTGTAGCAACAGAACTAACTTGGAGCATGCCATCTTGACCCAGATTCGGACAGCATGCGAATGTGAGAGTGACTAGGGCTCAGCTTGGATCCACCCGAATTTAGATGTTAAGTTTCCATTATAGTAGTACCTTTTATTAATTTTCAGAGTTAAGGAAAAGCTGATGAAGCAAACTGGGACGCAGACGACATATTTTAGCCCTCAGTTTGTTTACCTTTTTAGGATTCAAGCTGCTAAAACAAGGAGTGTATAACTGGGAGGACATCAAAGTGAAGTGAAGGATCTGAACAAATTCCTTGCTCAAATCTGTGGAGCAAATTCTCAGAACCTCGATTACACTTGTAACACTCTCAGTGCTTCCTCTTAAAACGTTTTCCACAATGACGAATTTGTCCCAACATGCCCTCCCGTTTAGACTTACTCCCGTTTAGACTGCTAAAAGTTGTTAGTCCTCCCTGAATGTTTTTGGCAGTGTTGAACTTTGGGGATTAAAAAAACATAGTTAAACATCCGTGGTATGCACTGCTACACTGGTAAAAACCTTTTTAACTCCCTGCCAAGTAAATTACAGAGTAACATTAGCATTCACTTAAGAGTTAAGTTTACAGTTACCTAATATTTACTCTCTTTTAACGGTCTACTGTATCTTGAGGATAATATCTGGCTGTTTTTTTTTTCTTTTTAAATCTCCACTATTTTCACTGTTCCTGTTGTTTGTGACTGAGCAAGAGTGCACAGTGAGTTTTAGAGCTGTCAAGGAAAGCTGACAACAGGACAACCAGAACAAAACTATTAAAGCTGCAAGCAGAAAAAACAAAATGAGGTAGGTGAAAGGTGACAAAATGCTTTGGAGAGCATTTTGAGATTGATCACATAAGTAATTGTGTGGCCAATCTTCTATTATAAATACTGTATCTCATGCAGAGATTTGAGCCAATAGTTCATTTCTGCAATCAAAGAATGAGTCCTGCTAAAACCAGCTCACTGCAAAATTCTTGACAAACAGGTGAGTTAGAGCGCTTTGGGAATAATTATAGCAACATCATTTCCAAATATCTTATGCTCAGATTCACTGAGCAAATAAATGAAGGGAACAGAAGCAAAGACTGGTGGGAGAAGGTTATAAGCGCCCTGAGTAAAGTATTCATGTTTACACCTTAACATGTTCACAGTGTCAGCCTGCAGTGTCAGTTCTAAAATAACTGAGGAAGCCTACAAGAACAAAAACCTCACATTCTACCATACAACACCAACTATCAGCTCCAACGTAATCTTGTGATCCCTTCCCAGATGTTTCAAGCCCCACTTACACCTTGCCTCAAGAAACCACAAAAGCTCTCATGATGATGGGGTGAGACAATGTGGTGCAAGGTTTCACACCTTGACCCCGATGATGGCAATGACCCACGCCTTTTTTCACATCTTGGCTCACATCATGATGACTCACATGATTAACAGTGGGTCAGTCACCATTAGGATCACCTCCAAGAGGCCATCACTGGGGGTTAAATACCTGGGAGTTTTTTGAGAACTGAAGCGTCTTGAAGAGCTAAAACATCGCAATGAACTGAAAAGATGTCAAGCTGCCTTCTGTTCAAGCACTCAATACTATTGCAACAAGTGCAATTTTATATGGTGATGCCACAACATAAAACCACAAGAATGTCAAACTTAAGGTTCACTTGGACACATTATCTGGGAATCCACAGTAGATTAAGTAGTTTGTTCAATCTGGATAAAAGTTGTGGACAGACCTACTGAATGACTCACACTGCTAAAGCCATGCTGTTAGCAGGACTAAAAATATCCACATTCTAGCAACACCTGAAAGTGATGATGGGATGGAATAAAGAAAATATCTCTTAGAAAACATGGCTTCACATCAAAAATTCAGTTCTGTTTGGATTATTTCACTGATTCAGTTTTCCGATTAATTATTCTGTTTATTTATTCAGAATGTTTTATTCACTTACTTCAAAAACATGCTGGTGTGTAACATCATGCTGCAATAATTAATTACATTTTCCACAGTTAATTACTTAGAGGAAAACCACTTACTTCATTATTATGTGACAACACAGCCAAGTAAGGAAGTGTTTCCACTAAATGGCTCACACGCCATTACACAATAACATCATCTAATCCTCTTAATTACAATCTGGTCATATAACTTCTGTTTAGAGCACACCATTAACGCCCTTTAGACAACAGCTTTCTTCTCCTCATTGTCATACCTTTAGTTTTAGTTTTCTTCTCTCGGGTGGAACTTGCAGGTGGAGAACTATCCTTGGTTGTTTTTTTCTTAGTTTTCTTAGTATCTTCACCGTCCTCTTCATCGTCATCATCTGAGTCTGAATCTATAGTAATGGAAATCAGTGCACTCATGGCGTATTTTTGTGGGAGTTACTTAAAGTGTCATTGTATAGGAAACACACCCCAGCTTTAACACATCCCAGTGAAAACTCAATATTACAGTCATTGCTGACTTACCTTTTTTCTTTTTTGGAGCACTTTTTGCTTTCTTTTTAGTCTGTCTTTCCTTTTCTGGTTCCTCTTTGTCTTTTTCTAGCTTCTTTTTCTTCACTTTCTTCCCATCTATAATGTTGATAAGGAAAAAGATATGTAACTGCTTTCGTTAGACTACAATGGAGATGTAAAGAGAAAAATGAGAGAGTAAAAGTTGTTTTTATCTCCTCACTCTGAATGGCAGAACTGTCCTCTTTGGCTACATCTTCATTCTTCTTTGTCTTAGCTTTTTTGGGCTTGGTCTCAATTCCATTCAGCTTGGCTTCTGTTGTACCATTGGCCTCTTCTTTCTTCTTTTTTGGTTTCTATAGATTTTCTTTAAGCACACAAAAAAGATTATTGGTAATACTCATAGAGCCCTTACTACAACTGAGCTAAATTAAAATGGTAAGACATAAAATGCAGTGAAAGATTTAGTCAAACTAGCAAGACTGTTATAAGTACCAACTCACCATCACAAATTCAGATGTGAGGAAAGCAGTGGGAAGAAAGACAATAAAAAGATGAACAGAAGTGGTATCATTATTTTTTCTATTCTAAATGATTCAAATGAAATGAAAGTTGTTTATTTTGCACTGGTAGCTCCTGTCAAATCTGCCTGATAAGTTTAGCTTTTGATTTGTAAATCAGCATAAAGACTGTTTAAAGGAAGTTAATGGAGAAACAGGGCATGAGGTAATAATGATGTGATGCATGTAAGGCTGTCTCGTCTAGAACTGAACAATCTGTTTCTATTCTTGATGAGACCGTTTCATAAGAAACACAAGAAAAGGAGAAACAGGTTTTGCAACAGTTTTATGAAACCTGCCAAGGCCTTCAAGCCCTGGAGAAAACACCCACTGCACTGCTTTGTGATGAAGTCATGCCTGCTGCGATTCCCTGATGAAAACGTGAGAGCTAAAATGGGATCGTAAATTACGAGAAAGTATTTTATACTCAATTCTGATTCTGAAATATAAAGTACATTTGTTTTGTGCATCTTAAATGCAGTTATTTATAACTCTTCTTCTTTGGCTTTTCCTTCTTTATCATCTATAACACAAACCTCTTCCTAAAGTGTATACAAGTTTAAGCCAAGGGGGCTCTACATAAACTACATAAATAAATAGTTTAAAAAGCAAACAAACAAAACACAACAACAACAAAAAACAAAACAAAAAACAAAACAAAGGGAAGTTATCCTATTCTTTCTTCGCACACCAATCCCCACACCACCACTCTGTCATTACTCCTCTGTTCTTCAAGTTACAGAAAGCCAGCTTGTAAAGGGGGGCCAAATACAATCATATTGATGCAATTTGTCTAATAAACCATAAGTCACTTTTTCGTAAGACGCCAACTTAGCCATTGTCTTTAGCCACTCTTCATATGGAGGGGGGTTCTTTTTCCGCCAATGTCTTAGCAGGACCTGTTTGGCCGTAGTAAGAGCCAAAATAATCCATCTTTTTGTATAACTGGAAAAATCTCCATCAGAAAAATCTGTGGTTATACCAAGTATGGACAGTTTTGGTGAGATACCAAATCTCCTTTTTAAAACACTGAAAATGACCTCCATTATATTTCCCCACCAATCCCGAAGTGCCGAACAGCTCCATAAGATATGTAAAATCGAAGCATTTTGACCATCACATCTCCAACATTCGTCCGTAGAGGCCAGGTTCCATTTATACAATTGTTGCGGTGTTCGATACCACCTATGGATTATCTTAAGTTGAATAAATCTACTGCCTGTTTCTTTATACATAGTATTAACATTTTGAAAACATGAATCCCATTCAACTGAAGATATGTCCAATGCCATAAATAGTCATTTCTGAAATATCTATTTATTAAAAAAAAAAAAAAAAAATCATCTAAGCAATGAGATTAGCTTTGATATTTTTTCAGTAAAATACACACAGCCTACATCAGTGATATTAAATTAAAAGTGTTTTATTTTACCAAACATCTCATACATGTTTTGAGTCTCAGGACTAAACTTTTGTGCTAAGTGACAGGAACAATATGTCACCATCTAAAGTCACAGACAACGAGGTCAGTGTGATCGCTACTACCGGAGACGGGAAAAGTAATCCTATTAAATGCAGGCCTATTTGCGTCCACAGGAAATCCGCATCTCAGCGTTATGGCAGCAGATTTGACATTTGCTGTATTGTGATGAATTGTTGCATTAAAGTTATCAAATGTCACTGGACACTTTAGCCACATTACCACATTTGTTTATTATATATGTCTATTGGTATAGCACTTATGATTATTGATGCTCATTTTGTAAGTTTAGACTTCACCAACAACAGTCACAAGTGTAGTTAATTTTGGTCAGTTGTACAACTACACAATATGCAACTGTATTGTTCTCAAATATAATGTTACTGAGTCAAATTAACAAATTTTACTGATGGTGCAAGATTTGCCAAAAAATCCAGGACAATACATAAATAAATGAATATAGAAATAAAAGTAAAGTAAGAATTAAGACAATGCTTTTGCAGTTGCATTTGGTTCAGACATCCACCATAGCAGCATTCCAGTTTGCTTGAACGTCTGGATTACTGACTGATTTCAATCCCTGAAGCATGCTTCCGAATATGTGTCCTCTCCACAACAAACAGAAATATGAGAAATTCACCTGTACAACTTTAAACTTTGCAGTATATCGATAAATAACGTCATGTGAAGTGTTAAGTTACTCTTATAAAAGTAACTTGTGTGGTCCACTTCCCAAATATTGGCACATTTCATCCCTGAGAAGCTTAAAGTCCAGAGAAAAGTAATCTTATTTAAAATATTTTTTTAAAGAAAATCTACAAAAACCTAAGTTCAACCTTTTACCTTCTCTGCAGACATGACGTGGCCTCCAAATTCAGCTCTCCCACCGCTTCTTTTTATGGCTTAGAAAATAAAAAAGCAGACCTCTCAGGGGAGATGATGACAGAGAGAGAAAACCCTGTGCTCACTGCATCTCCATCAGCAGAAAGTTGTTAATAGGATTTATGTGTAAAGCCATCTGCTCTGCAGGAACACGTCAACGGGAGAAACCAAGAAAGGCTCGGGAGGAGGGAGAAGAGTTGTTTGTCACGCGTTTCAACCATTCAGAAAACTACATGAAAATTTTCTTTTCAAGGTTTTCATGCCAGTGGCTGCTCTATATGTTTTATCAGTCTGTTGTTGCGAGCACCACCTTCTTTGCTGTGGCGTGCTGGGGTGCAGGCATCAAAGCAAACAGACTAAACAAACGCATCAGGAAGGCCGAGTCTGTTGTTGGCATAAAGCTCGTCACCCTGGAGGAGATGATTAGTGACAGTATGCTGGCAAGACTGTTGGCAATCACGGACAATGAATCCCACCCCCTCCATAACACACTGGACAATCTGAAGAGCAGTTTCAGCAACAGGCTTCTTCAATCTCGCTATCTGAGGGAACATTACAGTAGGTCGTTCCTTCCCGTTGCTATCAGACTCTTTAATTCATCCACTTGGGTCAGATCCACACATGTGGAACACAATTAATCACACATCAATGCACTCTGTCACTTTTGTACACCACTACATATTTGCACACATACTTGCCATTTTATATTTATATGTATATTCATATTTATGCCTATATCTCTATATTTATCTATCTATCTTAATATTTATCTGTCATAACTCGGTTTCTACTGTTTGTTGTATATTTGCTGCTATGACAACTCAATTACCCTCTGGGATTAATAAAGTTTCTCTGATTTGGATTTCGGAACCAATTACTTCTAAATATGTGAAATGTCAACAAAGCTGACAATTAGTGATGTTTTTATTTATTTATTTTTTTGATGAGTTAATTGTTAATCCCAATAAAAATCCAAAAGTCCAAGACCCAAAGATATTTTGTTTCATTTCAAGGAAGAAGCTTGAGAAGCATTAAGAAGAATCATTCAGTCCATGACAGTTTTACAAAAACAATTAATAAAGTAGTAAAGAAACAATTTATAAAGCAGTCAAACTCTTACTCTTGCTATAGCCTGCAAATGCAATGGTGGATATATTAGATTAACAGGTCACTGGGCCTAAGTAGGTCCACCCGATAGCAGCACATAAAGCTTTCCCTTCTTATTGGTTTAGCGCTACTTGGCCTGTATCATTGGAAACTGAGTGTGGTAGCGCAGTAATAACCATTCTTCATCCATAAACCTGATGGCATGAGGAGAAAAGGAAAAAAAAGATGAAAAATGCTTGCATGGTAAGGACTATCAAAAGCTCTAAAGTGCTGCATGGAATGTTTACATACTGTACTTGCCATTCGTCCAGGCCTCTTTCATGATGTGTTTGTGGCATGAATTGTAAGACATCCAGCAAAAATCGTGTGATTTTAAACCTACTTGTACATATTTATATGTATTACAACCAAAATGTACTCATTTATAGACATACAATTCTTTAGTAGGTGTGTGGTTCTTAGGCAAGGGTGTCTCATCTACTCACAAGCCTCCATATAAACAGTGAAGCCCACAAAGTAGTCATGTGATACAAGTTGTAAGAGGATTTTCATCAAGCAACAGGTCCCCCCATGAACTTGCAGACAAACATGATGCCATGACTGTTCAACTGGGATTACTATAATCAGCTATTCACCATCTGTGCACATTTTGTTTTGATTTTTAGCATCAACTCTGTGGAGAAACATGGAAGATGGAAATTTAAAGAGATTCAGAACAAACAAAAATGTGCAGTCTTAATTCAGGTAGGTGTAGCCGCACAGTCACACTGCATTACAAAAAGACTACTGAATCTAGAGATCTGGTTATAACCACAAGCCCTGCGATTTCCTTCCTGCTTTCATTTAAAAATAGAGATTAAAAATTAGTGTCACTATCAAAAACAAAGTGTCATTTCCTCAGCTGACCACCAGATGCTGCTGTACCCCAAGAGACAGAAAACAATGCATGAAGCAGCTGGGAGACACCAGAGGGAACATGGAGAAACTGTAATTTGATTCATCTCGACATATTTTAAAAATGA